CACAATTGTTTTTTGGCCCCCAAGGCGTTTTTTCCCCCCCCCATTTTTTTCCCCCTTTAATTTAAAAAAGGAAAAAAAAAATCCCGGTGGTCAGCATGACCGTTTTTTGGAAATAATTTTAAATTAAAAAATTTTCCCCCCGCATGCGGGGGGGGACCCGGGGGGGGGGTTTGGGGGGCCCCCCCCCCCCCCCCCCCCATCAGACCTGACTTGTTTGGGACTGAAGTTCTTCATCGACAGAATAGTGTATCACTGATTTTTTTAATGAAACACGCCATTACCCTATTTTGAGTACCCGCTTCTGCTCGCGAAGCAGTACTTACCGCGCCAACGGCGACCGGCCTTCACACATTGGTTTTCTTTAATCGAAATAATAGTACGGCATTAAAAAATTCTTACATGTTCTCTGCAATCTCTCTTGCTTTTGTCTGTTCCTTGATCTGCGTGGATTGAATAAGAAACATATCTGCCATTATCTTTGTACATGAAAAGTGATTAACAAACGGCAAACAAATATTTCCGAGTACTGCTTTCTGCCCGTGGCTTACTCAAGGTTTTCCCATTGGGGAGAAACTGATTCTCCATTAATTTTGGCTTCTTTTTCAAGTCTATATTCGTTACAGTAAAAGAGGAAAAAAATAGTTCAACCTGCAAACAGAGCTTCCTCATAACTCCACAGGAGCATATGAATATGGTTAAAACACTTTAGTTTATCTTAGAATTGCCCTAAAACAGCAATATAATCTACTTCCCTCAGGACCCCACGCCCTGTCAGAAGACTTAGCGGGTTCTCTATTTATTGTAATTGACCTTGACTCCTATCTTACCTCATCTTGTTGTCGCTTGTCTTTGATTTCAAGATCACTGACTCTTCTTGATTGTTGTTTCAGTTTCAGGGAGAATTCCTCTCTTTCTTTCTTTCTCCAGAGTTTCTTTCATTTCTCTTTGAGAATAGCAGACCAAGTATACATTAGGCTTGATTATCTACTATCTTATTCTTACCCCGTTTGTAGCCGTAAGATCCGAGGGCTCGGGTGACGAGATTGCTACCGTTTATTTGTGAGCACGCGTTCAGCTTCATCACATACATGCTAAAGGGTGAATGTACTTTGATCGAGTATCAAATCAGACGCTCTTAAATGGCCAGAAATGGAGCCTAGAAATCAAAATTGATGAAAATAATTGAGATATTTGTTTGATAATTACGGGGAGTTGGTGATCTTCGCCACGTTCAGGTAAAAATTGCATTAACACTTCAAGCAGTTATAAACGGGGCATTCGCTATTTGTCAGCAACAATTACTAAAACCTACTCGAGACGTTCTTGAACAGTCTTGGTGGTGCCGGTCTTTTCTTTCTGTTGCTTTTCCTCATCTTGGTGTTCTTTTGCACCTTGCTGATGTTTTGTGGCAACGTTTTGCGGTTTAGGGGCTGCTTGCTGCTGTTGAGTCGCAACTTGCTGATTTTGTGTTGCACATTGCTGCACACGCATTGCGGCAAATTGCTGTTGAGCTGCATATTGTTGTTGTTCTGCAGTCGTAGTCCAGTATGGTAGCCTGTGTGACAAAATACTATAATTTGAGCGGAAATGAACGCTGATGATAGCAATCCTTATGTGAACAGTTTTGTTTTTGTCTAATCCAAATTCAAAGATTTACCATGACGGTTTATCTGACAACAACAGACCCTTGAAGCTATTTCTGCATAAAATTAAGGCTTAGGGACAGTTAGGTAAAAAATAAAAACTTACATAAATGTGGCTTGACCATGCTGCAGTTGAATTCCTTCAGCCCAACTTTGCTGAACTGCAGGATTATACTGGAAGTGTTGGTACTGAAGGGGAACCGGCTAAAAAAAATATTTCATACTTAAGAAGTTTCACAAAGACAACTTTTACAACACCCTGGGCACTGTAAGCCATGTGATTATCTACGCTTCCTTAGCTTCCTTAAAAATCTTTCACAACATGAAACTTTATCACAGTACAGAGTAACCGTTGAATGTTAATCGTTAACAAACATTGCACAATTTTACAAACCTCTATTAAGCGGACACCCTCTATTAAGCGGACATTTGGGAAGGTCCCGAAGGTCTCCCCTTAATAGAGGTTTTACTGTAATCAATTACCTGAACGCCATAGTAACGCCATGGGATTTCTCCTTGATGGTCCCAGTGTGGATCCATTTCATCATTTTCAAAATGATTAACTGAAGAAAAACCAAAACGCCTTTAAGTGAATAATTTTTCCAATGAGAATATTTTTTTGCAAAGAAAAGAAGTGAAAGGGCGAAAAGTAAAAAACAGGACGGTGCAGAAGAGAACTCAGGATACGCACGTTACCTGGTTGATTAACGTTCGTTTCCTATATATTGGGAAACGACATTAAACAACCAGTTAGCAGTGGAGTTTTGTCGCCCGGTTGAAGCTCTATACCTATTGAAAAAACACATTTATGTATAATTATAGTTTTAACAAATATCAATTAAGTTAGAGTAGAAGAAAAAGTCATTCATTGATGATCCAATACCATGCTGGATCTAAAGGATCATTGGAAAATATTTTAGGTAATATTGTAACTGATAAAAACTATCCACAGAAAAGGATTAAACGGTAGTCGACATATTAGTAAATGAGTAAAATCATAATTGCTAGCAAGACCTACAAAAAAGGATTATGAACGAGTTTATCGACTACAGAATCACGGTATAATTCGAGGACAACCGATAAAATAAAGTAACTACTCATACCTTCATTAATAGAAGCCATTGTACCCGTTTTGTGTAACATTGTATCCTCAAAAATCGCAAATTACAACTCTGAATATAAACACAACTCAGTCGCACAAAAAAATCTCTGACAATTAAAGTTACTACACTCACTAATTACTCGACGTCATAAAGGCTTTGAATTGCCATATATAGCATATTCCAAAAATGCGCGCGCACTCTCAATCGTCTTCTCTTCATTGTTAAGGTAAAGGTTTATGAATGTCGCCAAGCTTTACAACCAATTTAAGAAATGGAAAAGATTACTTCAGCCTAGTTTAACTGCATTTCACAGAGTTTGGTGAATACAGGTAGGAGTACAGATGCGCGCGTATGATACAGTAAAATTTTCAAATGTTGACAAATTTGCGCGCGCAACTGAGTGTTTTCAGTGACTCTCATATGGGTAGCTAAATAGAAAAATAAATGGGTAGCAAGGGTTGGAGGGGTAATATAAGTTAGAGCACAAAAATTAGTTGGAGGAAGGACACCATTCCAGTGAACTTTTGGTTACCGATTGAGGTAAGTTTGTTTTTGCAACGCAAGGCTTTTTCATTCTTTTTTTTTCTGCGCGCAAATGCAGATTCTGATATCGTATTTTTACGCTGAGAAGAGGTTTAGGGTATCGCAGGTTTAAGGTATCCGGGCTTCGAAGAACTGAGGCCTGGCCTTGTTTTTGCATTTTCCTTCCCTTAGTAAAACAAAAGTAAAATATCTCTTTCTCCCATTTGTCCTCCTTCCCTGGGAACACTGGGAAGGCGAAATTGAACGTAAACAAGTAAAATAATGGCCTTATGCAGTAATGTGATGTTATTTTCAATAATTTTTGTCTTTACTAGCGTCCGATTCTCGTGCTTCATTTGATGTAAATCATATTGACATCAAAAGTTGATACAGAAAAGTTTTTCACATCTTGGTGGTTGCTACTTTGCAAGCGCAACCGAAAAGTAGATGATAGTGAATTTTCTTTAATAGTGTTATATGAGCTTAGGAGAAAGGGCAAGGTGATTGTATTGTCATGTTTTGTTGCTAGGGAACTGTAGGACATAAATGTACCGTACAGGCCACAGGAATTGAGTGTTTCTAGCATGCAAATAAGCAATATTACAAGCATATTACATGAG